GGCTGTGTTTGAGTTTGAGTCGGCCGCCCAGCAGTTCATGGTGAGCACCCTGCGCGTGGCCAAGAGCTTCCGCCCCAAGCAGGTCTGGGGGTACTACCTCTTCCCGGACTGCTACAACCACGACTACAGCAAGAACAAGGAGAGCTACACCGGGCAGTGCCCAGACGTGGAGAAGACACGCAATGACCAGCTGGCATGGCTCTGGAAGGAGAGTACGGCTCTCTACCCCTCCATCTACCTCGACGTGCTCCTGGCATCCACTCCCAACAGCCGTAAGTTTGTGCGGGCACGGGTGATGGAGGCCATGCGCATCTCGCAGCAGCACCACGATGGCTACTCCCTGCCCGTCTTCGTCTACACCCGGCCCACCTACATCCGCAAGCTGGACGTGCTCAGCCAGGTAGGGCTGCGCCACTGGGAGGTCCTTGTCCCAAGCCCCAGGCACCTGGGCTCTGGGGTCAGCTGAGGTGGTCCCTCTGCCTGTGTCCCATCCTGGCCCACAGAGTGGGATGGCTCTGGAGGCTGGTGACCACTCTCATGGTGCCACCACCACGTCATGGTTTGGCTGTGTGAGGCGGGGAGCAGCATCCTTTGGCATGGGGCTGGCCCTGGGGACCAGGAGGGGTGCCTCGCCCTACCTGCCTTAGTCCAAGGTGGGGGTTCATGGTATGGGGACCCCCAGCTCAACCCCTCCGTGGGTGGACAAAGTTTGCCGCAAACTACCCACCCTTATGGACAAGTTGGTAGCAGGACTGGTACCAATGGTCACCATCACCAAGGAGCCCACAGCCCTGATAAGGAGGGCAGTGTTGGAAGCCTTGTCCCCAAGGAGCTGGGATGGTCCTTTCTCCCTGTGGCCTGGAGCAGAGATGGGTGTTGCTTCCCTGACCCCACAGCGGACTCTTTGGGATGCACTCTGCTGGGGGGTGTGGGTGCTGCGTGGCGTCTGTGGGCACTAACTGGGCTCTGTCCCCACAGCCAGACCTGATCTCCACCATTGGAGAGAGTGCAGCGCTAGGTGCAGCTGGGGCCATTTTCTGGGGCGATGCGGACTTCACCAAAAACCGGGTAGGTTTGGGGTCTATGTGCCCCTGGGGAGGTACATGATGGGGGCGGGGGTGTGTGTGTGTGATCTGCCACCAGAGGGTGACCCATGGCTCAAGGCTGGAGTGTCCTCTCTATCTGGGGTGCTTCTCTCCCTGGGGCACCCCAACATGCTCCTGATTTCCTCCCTTCCCCCAGGACTCATGCCAGATCCTCAAGGACTACCTGGAGGAGGACTTGGGCCGCTACATTGTGAATGTCACGACAGCGGCGCAGCTCTGCAGCACAGCGCTGTGCCAGGGCAGGGGCCGCTGCCTGCGCCAGGACAGCACTGCCGATGTCTTCCTCCACCTCAACTCCACCAGCTTCCAGTTGCGGCGCCGGGATGGGGACCACCCCCAGCAGCCTCTCTTCTGGGCTGAGGGCCAGCTGTCCTCTGCTGACATCCTCTTCCTACGGACCCACTTCCATTGCCACTGCTACCAGGGCTGGCAGGGCAGCAGCTGTCAGGTGCCTGCCGGCCCCCGCAGTCATGCCCCAGACCCGCTGGCACCGCTGGGACTTGGGGTGCTGTTGCTGTTTGTAAGCTGGCGCTAACCCCCCTGGACTGAGCTGGTGCCTCACAAGGCACCCCCTTTCTGTGATGGTGTAGGGGACCTATTTAAGATGTCCCTACCCTGCCTGTTAGGCAGCTCGTTAGGGGAGGGCTGCCCCACCCCGGGGAGGGGGAGAAGTTGTGTGGTTGCCCCACCTTTGCCTTCCCTGCGGTGGGGCAGGTACACCACCACCACCCCCCCCAGGGGTGGGGGGTGTCCCCTCTCCTGTTGTAAGGAGAGGGATGGGGGTGAGGGGGGCAGGGAGTGGGTGCTGTGTGGTGCTGAGCCCCTGTGTGCTGCCCCATACCGAAGTGCTTTACCTCGAATAAAGCTGGGTGGAGTGTGAG